AACCAGTGTCTTATTACTTGGTACCGCCTTGCCTTCCACTCCATTAGAAGGGTCTATACCTACACCATTTATTCCCGCTTTTATTGTTCTGATGCTTTTGTCATTTACAGATTAACCTCTCTGCTTTCCTGTTGTAATTCTTTATGTTTTGCATAGTCTTTGAGAGTTCATTTCCTAGGCTGGTATCTTGCATCCTAGATTCAGGCTGTGGTCTGATGTTGTTTGTTCTCAGACTGAAGGACTCCCTTTAGTAATTTTTTGTAGGTTTGGTTTTTACATATTCCTTTAATTTCTGTTTATCTGGAAATGTCCTAATTTCATCATCATATTTGAATGAGAGTTTTGCAGGATATATTATTCTTGGCTGGCACCTTTTTTTTCAAGGTTTTATATATGTCATCCCATTGCCTTCTTGCCTGCATGGCTTCTGCCAAGTAATCCGAGCTTAGTCTTAGTCTTTCTTCTCTGTATGTTACTTTTTGTTTTTCTCGAGCTGCTCTCAAGATTCTTTCTTCATCCTTGGTTTTAGCTAGTGTGATTATGATAAGCCTTGGTGACTTTCTTTTGAGGTCTATCCTATATGGAGTTCATTGAGCTTCTTGGATTGTCAGCTTTTCATCTTTCATGATATTGGGGAAGTTTTCTGTCAGCAGTTCTTCAATGATCCTCTCTTTGTTTTCGGTTTTCTCCCCCTGTTCTGGAACTCAGATAACTCACAAATTTTTGCTTTTGATTATATCCCACATAATTCTGAAGGTTTTTTTCATTTTTCTTTTGTTCTTTTTTCTGATTTTTCCTCAGAGTTTTACCCAAGTGTTTGCCTTCAGTTTTGCTGATCCTGTCTTCCATTGTTTCAAACCTGGTCCTCAGTCCTTCTATGACACCGTCCATTTCTGAAATTTTGTTGTTCATCTTTTGGTTTTCTAATTGTTGTCTTTGTATGATTTCCAGTTATGAATTTATTTTGGCATTTTCTTCCTGTATTATTTTCCTGAATTCTTCCATTTTTTATCTGTATTTTCCATGAATTTGTCTGCTTTTCCATGAAGTTGTCTATTTTTTTCCTCATTTTTTTCTGCTTTTTGCTTTAACTCTTGGATAGCTCTGAATATTAGAGATTTGAATTCCTTATCAGGTAGTTCTAGTGCCTTTTCTTCTACTGGAAAGTCATCTGATGTTTTATTTTGGAAGCCTACTGAACCATCTTGTCCTGTTTTTGTACACGTTTTGGTATTGTCTGCTGTCTTCGGGACATTCGGTAGTTATTTTCCTCATTTGTTTATTGTAGATTTGTTTGTTTCATCCTGTTTTTTTTTGTTTTATTTGGTTATGTCTGAGCAGGTGGACTGTACATTCTGTGTTGTTTGCTCATCTGTGGGCACGATAGTTTTCACCTCCTTGTCCCATGGACAGGGTCGCTTGCTTAGCTATGGTGCAGCAGGCAGGTTCAGCTGAAGAGGAGTTGCTGGGATGGGTTGTTTGTGGCACATACTTGGACTGACAGGGTGGGAAGGCTGGGAATCAGTGCAGGGAAGATTCTGGTAGGCTGTGCTTGTGCTGTTTGGGGGTGTGATGTTCAACACACAGTGCAGGTAGGCAAGAACGGGGGAGATTTTGATGTGTGGAGCTAATATGGGTATGGGAAAGAGGAGAGAGAGGAGAGAGATACAGGAGCAAAAACAAAGAAACAAACAATAAAAAAGAGTGCTAAGGGAGCTTGCCACTGGAGTGGAGTAATTAGAGACTGAGAAATGGAGAAAAACAAAAAGGAAAAAAAAGAGGAAGGATAAAAGAAAATAAATAAATGAGTAAAAATTATTTAAAAAAGAAAAGAAAAGCCTCTAGGAGTCCCACCAGTTGGCTGCGAAGACTGGGGAAGTGGCTCCCAGGCTGTGAAGTACAGCCTGGCTAGAAGTGGTAAAGGTGTCACACTGCAACAGATATTCAGGAGACAGGAAGGTAAGGTAAGTATAGAGCGATGAGAAACTGAGAAATGAAGAAAGAGAAAAAGGAAAAAAGAGAGAAAAGAAAACAAACAAAAAACAAAAGAAAAAAAGAAGTGCCCCCAGGGATCCCAGTGTGCACCTGTGAGGACTGGGGAAGTAGCTCCCACACTGTGCAATACAACCCAGCTAGAAGGGGTTCCAAAGCTGAGAAAAGAAAAAGAAAACAAGCAAACAAACAAATCAAAATAGAACAAATCAAAACTAACAAGCAAACAATACCCCTGGGATCCCACCAGTGTGGCTGCAGGGGCCGGGAAGCAGTTCCATCATCGAGTGGCATTTCACAGCTTTTCAGGAAGACGCAAAGATAGCACACATAGCCAGGTATTTGAGAGAAAGGAGGGGGAGGTGGTGAGAGGTTTGGAAGAAACCAAAAAATGTGGAAAAAAACAACACCAGCAACAAACAATTGGCACTCGGGAAGCTGGCCAGTGTGGACGGGTGGAATCCAATCAGCACAGGGCTGAGATTGGTGCCTTCTGGCCAGGAGACTGTGGCCGCAGGAAGCATAGGAGGCCCAGTGGGCATGAAGAAGGCTGGGGGTGGGAAAGCATATATCACTGGTTAGTGGTTGTTCTGTCTCCTGCTAGGAGCTCTGTGAAGCTGCTTTCCCGTGCTCCCTGTTTTCCAATCTCCTACAGGAGTTTAAGTTGGAAAATCCATGCTGCATTAGCTGAGAGGGAACCTCTGCATCCATCTCTTCTTGCTCTCTATTCTCTGTCAGTTTCTTATTCCATTCTGTACTTGGCTGAGTTCTGTATCTCTTCATTTGATGCTTAGGGTTCCAGGATTGATGGTTTGTCTCTGTTTGACTTAGTTTTTTTGGTCTTTGCTATGGAGGGACAGTGAGGTGCTTCTGTTTATAGTGCCATATTGTCTGGAAGTCCAGTGGCCAATTTTTTAAGAATTAGATCATCAGGTCCTTTTTCCTATTCTGCCTTAGTCTGGAAGCTCCACTGAAGCCTGTCCACCATGGGTGACTCTGCTGAATCTGAAATACCAATGGCATAGCTTCCAGTATCACAACAACACAATAGACAACTACATTACAACAAACTGATTGATGAGTTTTGGGATCATAGCTTAGTCAACTTTAATTATAGAGCTCAATCAATAGGCATGTATATAATTAAAGGTGAATACTCAATGATCATTTGGATTTTTTTAATCATCTCCAATTTTTTTTTTTAAGATAGACTACATTTGTTACATTTCTTGCCCTTAAGTTTTCAGTTACCTCTTAATAGGAATGCTTGGTGCTAGGAAAATGAATGGGAAATTGTCATTCATCCATACATCTCCTAGGGACTTTGTTGCATAGCATACAATACCAGAAGAGTAAGGTATGATGACTGCCTTCAGGTTTATAGCTTCCATGGGGTTGGTAACCAGTGTCACAAAACAATATGTGTACTGATTGTTTAATGAGAAACTAGTTCTGTAAACCTTAATCTAAAGTACAATAATCAAAAATAAAATTAGGAAAAAAAGAAAAGATTCCCAAACTCTCAGGTGAGGGCCTAATTATTGCAAGCTGTAGTCAATAAACCAATATTCTACACACACAAACACACACACACAAAATAAGTTGCAAATGTTAAAAGATAAAAAGTAAAATCAAGCAATCATTAGAAGAAAATATAAATAAATATTTGATTTTGAGCTAGGGAAGCTATTATATGCATACAAAAAAAGGAAAAAAGAACTGAAAAAACTGATAGATTTGATTAATAAGAATTTAAAAGCTTCCCCCAAATACTCTAAATATGATTAAAGGCAATTGACTAACCAGATCTGTAACAAGTATGACAAAGGAATTAGTATCTTATGTGTTGAAAGTACTTATAAATCATTAAAAGAAAAAAAAAGCATTCCAACAGAATAGGCAAAGGATATGAATAGACTAGGCTATTTAGAAAAGAACAATTATATATTGCTAATAAGCCATTTTTTAAAACACCCTCAGTTATGCAAACTAAGCAATGAAATACCATTTGAAATCCAACAAATTGGCAAATATTAATAAAATGATGAAATTCAATTATTAATAAAGAAGGAAGGAGTAAGCCCTTTAAAACATTACTAGTGATACAACAAATTATCAGAGGGCAAAGGAAGCCGCACATTTCCTTTGACAGAAATTGCATAGTTAGGACCTAGTCTAAGAAGGTGAACAAGATGCTATGTACGTATTTTTTCAATACCAGTGAAATATCTGCCCAACAACAAGGTATTAGTTAAATGAATTATGGTGTATCCATATGATGAAATACAATGCAACTGTTAAGAATACTTAATGACATGGGAAAATGTGTGTACCATATTATTTAAATGATAAAGAATATTGTAGAACTGCAAGATCATAATTTTTAAAAAATATAGTATGTTAATATTATATATGTATAGAAAAATGTGGACTGATATATATTGAACGTTAAGATTGTTAGCACTGGGTACTGGGATTACAGATGAATTTAATTTTCTTATTGCTTTTCTGAATTTGTCAAATTTTCTACAATAAAAATATATTATTTTGAAATCAGAAAAAAAAAAAAGAAGTTTATGGTTTACCACTGGGAAGCAAAGTCAAAAAGCAAAAAAAGCCCGTCTTATCATTGGTACTGAAAAACAAGTATATGGGTATAAAGAGAAGGGTGTTAGACCTTGACTTGAAATATTTTCCTAAATTATATAAACCTAATATAATATGAAATAATTTCAGTTGCTTAGGACAGCTATACTTCATTTTATCAAATTCTATACATTGAAAATACTTTATATTTTCTATTTTTTAGACTTAAAACCAACAGAATAACATATATAACTCTACCACTAACGACAAAACAAGTCTGAGGCACTGAAAAGGAATATATTATTTAAAGGCCAAATTATCTCAGAATAGTGTATTTCTACTCTGGATGATAAAGTAAAAGTTTGTGTAAGTTTTTGTACCATATGTAACAACATAAAATATTATTATGTTTCTTTGTTCAGAAGAACTACTGAAGACAGAAAACAAAGTCAGCCCAAACCACGTGATGACTCTCATAATATAGCTGTCCATGTTAGAAAAGTGCATGGTAGCCATTCTTTAAATGGACCAAAAAGATTTGAAGAGAGAATGGAAGAATTCATAGCCATCTTAAAAAAATTGTGAGTATTTTTTAATATATCACTTCTTATAATTGAAGAAGTCTTTTTAATAGTTTTTAAACAATTAGTTGTTTGCTGATAAGTATACTTAAGTGGTAATCTAGCACTAGTGGTCGATTCAGATGAGCTGATACATATGGGAGATTTGTCTCTAGATGAATACAGTCTTCAGGAAGATAATTTCCATTGCATACATGAATATAGTGCTAAGCTTGTGGCACGGCATTTTAATTTTAAGTGCCCAGTTGGAATATGTTTTATTTACTGCATATGTTTAACCAAAAGTACATTTAAGATGTTCGTTATCTTCCCTATCACAGAGACTTTAGATAAACTTGCCTCATATTTCTCTTTAATTTCCTGAAATGATTTGGGTTGTGATTAGGACACAACTACCTAAAGCAGAAGGAAGAGAGAGTTAAATCTGGATGGAGTCTGGTTACCAGAGATGCTGTTGGAATTATGGATAAAATTAAAGTTGAAAGGGGACCATGGAAAAATGAGATATTGGAATAGAGATTGATAATAGAAACAAAACAAGAATAAAACTGTTTCAGTGTTGGAATTATGCCTGAAAGAAAGACCAGTAGCTTGGAATGAGTAATTAAAAGTCTGAAATTTACGTTTTGAAGAAATCACTAGGAATTCTGTACTATAAGGACTTTCCTTTAAAATTAAATTGCAAATTTAAGAAAATATGATTAGAGCTTCCAGAAAATTTGAAAATGGCCATGCTTTTATGCTTTTACTTATAATAACAAAAAATAACCCTAGCAAATACCAGTCACTTTACAGGAAACCAGGCAAGAGGGAGTTGTAGAGAAGGAAATCATACCACTTACTATACAGGAATGTAATTATACTGGTAAACTGTAAAAACAGGAAATTCAACTAGAATGTGTTCAGTTAATGTGTTAAAAGTGTAATTTAACTGGTAGAAAATTACTGGAGTATTGAAAGTTATTAGAGCTACAGGCTGCCACAGCCAGTTTTCATTCCATCAAACCATAATACTGATTAAAATTACATTTGATTAAAAATTTTAGACCCCAGAAACCCAAGAGTTAATCACTGGTACTGGTTTTAGGTTTTGCTAAGCTGCAGAATTTTTAATGGTGTTGGTAATCTCCATCTCTTTGAGTATAAAGAGGTAGCAGTGTCCAGATGACAAAGGTTGTGATCCAAGACACAGGAGGAGCTTAGCAATTGGACTTTGAAGAATCCATGACTTCCCAGCAAGGAGCCAAAAGACTGGGAGGTACATGTAGGTTCATGCCGGGATGGAAACTGCAATTGAGTGAAGGGCCTTGTACTATCTTGGCTATGTACTGAAGCAGGAACCATGGTAGAAGGCCATCCACTTAAACACGGCAGAGAACAGGTAAAGAAGCTACTGCTGCATCCTTATATGGACTTCCATGGGTTTCATTTAGAAGCCAGTCTCCAAATACCCTGGACAACAAATGCTGAGACAGTGGCAGTTTTTGGGTGGGTAGAGAATCTTCGAAGTACTGCAAGCCCTGATTTTCTTTTTTTTTTATTGTTGTAATTTAAATGAAGTTTACATTTCAAGTTAGTCTCCCATACAAAAATTTATACATACATCAGTATGGTACCCTAATTCCTCTCCCCATAATGTGACATCACACTCCTCCTTTCCACCCCTGATTCCCCATGTCCATTCAGCCAGCTCCTAACCCTCTCTGCCTTCCCATCTCACCTCTGGACAGAAGCTACCGTTTACTCTCTTGTATCTATTTGATCTAAGAGGCACGCTCTTCACGGGTATCACTTTATGTCCCACAGTCCAGTCCAATCCCTGTCTGAAGAGTTGGCCTTGGAAATTGTTTTAGTTCTCGGCTGATAGAGAATCCAGGGGCCATGCTTTCCGGGGTTGCTCCAGTCTCAGTCAGACCATTAAGTCTGGTCTTCTTTCTAGAATTTGAGTTCTGCACCCCACCTTTCTCCTGCTCCATCTGGGACTCTCCGTTGTGTTCCCTGTCAGGGCGGTCATTGGTGGTAGCTGGGCACAATCTAGTTCTTCTGGTCTCAGGCTGATGAAGTCTCTGGTTTATGCGGCCCTTTCTGTCTCTTGGGCGAATACTTTCCTTGCGTCTTTGGTGTTCTTCATTCTTCTTTACTCCAGGTGAGTTGGGACCAATTGATGCATCTTAGATGGCTGCTTGAAAGCTTTTAAGGCCCCAGACACCACTCACCAAAGTAGAATGCAGAATATTTTCTAATAAGCTTTGTTATGCCAATTGACCTAGATGTCCCCTGAAAGCCTGGTCTCCAGACCCCTACCCCTTGCTACTCTGCTCCTCAAAGTGTTTGATTGTATTCAGGAAACTTCTTAGCTTTGGTTTAGTCCAGTTGTGCTGACTTCTCCTATAGCGTGTGCTGTCCTCTTCACCTAAGATAATTCTTATCTACTATCTAGTTAGTGAGTAACCTTCACCCTCCCTCCCCACCCTCGTAACCATCAAAGAGTGTTTTCTTCTGTGTTTAAACCTTTCCTTGAGTTCTTATAATAGTGGTCTTATATAATATTTGCCCTTCTGTGACTGAATAAATTCACTAAGCATAATACCCTCCAGATTCCTCCATGTTATATGATGTTCCGTGACCTCATTGTTGTTCTTTATCGTTGCATAGTGTTCTATTGTGTGGATATATCATAATTTGTTTATCCATTCATCGGTTGATGGGCACCTAGGTTGTTTCCATCTTTTTGCTATTGTGAACAGTGCTGCAATGAACATGGGTGTGCGTATATCTATTCATTTTACAGCTCTTATTTCTCTATGATATATTCCAAGGGGCGGGATAGCTGGATCGTATGGTACTTCTATTTCTAGCCTTTTAAGGAAGTGCCAAATTGATTTCCAAAGTGGTTGTACCATTTTATATTCCCACCAACACTGTAGAAGTGTTCCAGTCTCTCCACAACCTCTCCAGCATTTATTATTTTGTGTTTTTTGGATTAGTGCTAGCCTAGTTGTGGTGAGATGACATCTCATTGTAGTTTTGATCTGCATTTCTCTAATGGCTAATGATTGTGAGCGTTTTTTCATGTGTCTGTTAGCCGACTGAATATCTTCTTTGACAAAGTGCCTGTTCATATCCTTTGCCCATTTTTTAATTGGATTATTTGTCTTTTTGTTGTTGAGGTTTTGCAGTAACTTATAGATTTTAGAGATTAGACGCTGATCTGATTTGTTGTAGCCAAAATATTTCTCCCCATCTGTAGGTTGTCTTTTGACTCTTTTGGTGAAGCCTTTTGATGAGCATAAGAGTTTGATTTTTAGGAGCTCCCAGTTATCTAGTCTCTCTTCTGGTGCTTGTGCATTGTTTCTTATAGTTTGTATTGTGTTTATGCCATGTATAAGGGCTCCTAGCATTGTCCCTATTTTTTCTTCCATGATCTTTATCATTTTTGATTTTGTATTTAAGTGTTTGATCCATTCTGAGTTAGTTTTTGTGCATAGTGTAAGGTATGGGTCTTGTTTCAGTTTTTTGAAGATGGATACCCAGTTATGCCAGCACCATTTTTTAAAGAGATTGTGTTTTCCCCAGTTAATGGACTTTGGGCCTTTGTCAAATATCAGCTGCTCATAGGTGGATGAATTTATGTCTGGATTCTCAATTCTGTTCCATTGGTCTATGTATCTA